GGCTGATCGCCAGGGCTGGTGCGGCACGTTAAAGTGGCCGTCGCCATGGCAAATTAGTCTCCGTTGTGTCGTAATGGAGCATAGAAAATGTGAAAAACACAGAGACGAAGACAGCGTTGACGGAAGAGGTCACTGAGGAAACAGAATGCCTGCATAAAGATTTTTCACGATTTTTCGACAAACCGACATATTCCTAAAGTTGTCTTGTTTAGGAGTCCATTTTTTCTTCAATTCGTATTCGAACCCAGATGAATCCCTCATCTCCGTCCAAACAGGTTTGACAGACCCTCAATCGACCAAGTTTAGGCAGTTCTGCTTCTGATCGGCAATTATAAAATTATCACTTAAGTGGGAAGACAGACCATGCTAGTGTCATATTGCAACAATAATATTATAATACAGTATTATCATTTTATGAAACTGTACCATTGTCAATACCATGTCCGGATAAGAAAGGTTAGTGGATTGTGAGCTGATGAAGTGTTTCTTTAAATAAGCCCCCGCCCCCGCATGATATTGATGCTAACCACTATATGCTGCCTCAAAGAAAACAAAGTTATGTCGAGACCTTTCGCGTTGGCACTGCCTTCATTCAAGGGTGCGATCTGTCCTCCTTCCGTTTAAGTTGCACAGCGTCAGGAGAGTCAGAAGCAGCTAGGGCGATGGGTGTACCAGAGCTAAAGATGTCGAGATGAGAAGTTTCATGTTCGCAGACTATTTTGTTGGTACTTTTCAAAACTAATCTTCATCGCTCTAGAAGAACGACGTGACCAACATGCCAATGAGCTTGTCTAATGCCAAAGGACTTATGGTTTCTTGATCCCCTGTCTGCTGACCTCTGAAGATAAGCGAAGTAGCTGTGGAACAGGTAGATATGTTCACATAGTCAGGGCCGTATTCATTGGTAGTGGAAAATGGGAGGGAGTGATTGACAGACGAGTCAAAATGATCATCGGCGTTCCTTTGAACTAGCCTGAACTTTGTGACTAAAACAGACCTTAGTCTAAAGAAAAAGCTGTCTGTGCCTATGTCGCCTCGCTTCCTTCCTCGTTCTCACCTATGGTCATGAGTGGTGGACCGTAACTGAAAGCTTCGATCCAAGGCAAGCAGCTTCAATGGACTTTTTGTGATGAATGGCTGGGTTCACGACTAAGATATCTGAGGGATTCTCGAGGTTCAGTCACTGCTTCACCATACTCAGAAATCACAACTGCGACGGTTTCGCCATGTATTGCGAATGCACTCAAAAAGGAAGGCGAAAAAACTGCTAGCTGCTCAACCTACCGGCCAAAGACGCCGGGAACAGTTAATAACTATCTTTGCAAGTGCTTCGATGGACTTTGCTCCATAATGCTTCTGCGAAAGATAAGACGCTGGCACCGGAGGGGGGGCGCTGTTGACACTGCCTAACATTACTGTGACAGAAAACCTAATGGATAACGGTAATCGAAACTAACAGATTAATTTTATAACAATATTATTACATACTGCCATTTTTTATTTAACAATGGCATAATAGTTACAGCAGTTAACACTTTAATGCCTAATTGATAAATTCTATTATTTCAGTTAAAGCGTAGCTTCTTTGTTGGCTCGACTTCATTTAAATGAGGCTTTATTTTAAGGTTGGCTTTACTGTCAATAATTGAGTAAGTAAAATTTATCCGACTAATGTGAAGTTTCGAATGCGCTCAATTGCATTTCTTGTTGACGTGTTTAGATCCTGAGAATTTAGACCTTAAGATTCCGTCCGAAATTCCCTCTATTGCCTCAAAGACCATTTAATGTACGGAGAAGCTCTTAATAGAGCTGATAATTTTACGAGAGATTTGTTGAAATATCTATGACACCTTTCTACGGTATTTTGTTTCAACTGATTGACGAACATAATTAGCAGTCAAATCAATTAATTGCCTGCTAATTGATATATGGAAGGAGTCTGTTCCAGACTCCATTTGTCTTTTGCCGAAGCTCAGGCTCTTGCACAGGATCGGGAGCGTTGGAAGCTCTGTCTGACGTGTCTGCCTCCGCGACCCGAAAGGAGCAGCGGCGATGGAAGATGACGATGATGGTCAATTAATTGACTCTTATAAATTTGATAGTACGATAGGGTGTGCGTAGGTCTGTAGCTTGCAGCTTTGTGAGGGTTTCAATTTGTCATATAAGACATACCATGAGAAGGAAAACGCATATTTCAAAATTAGGCCCAACTGATGACTTTATATATTATTCCGGTGACGAAGCGGTCGGGGATACTTCACTTCAGGGCGTTAATGCAACATCTATCGCCCCCCTCCCCACTAGGCTCTCAGTTCTTCGAATACGCAAGAAGATGTGTTGGAGCCATGGAACTGTCAGTCTTTCAGGTCGACGCCCGCGTCCTGCGTCAGCGACGACCAGCGGCGGCCTTCGCACGGCCCAATGGAGCACTTTGAGAAAAAGTGATCGTCTTTAGACGCCGGACTCGTTTTTGCGCACTTCACTGGCGACACCGGTTCCGCCATTACTGGCGGCTGGTAACGGTTTCGATGGTGTTTAATGGGCCGGAAGAGTCGCCGAAAAACGTAAATACCTTCAGCGAGCACTTGGCCGGAAAATGTGCCATCTCGTCGCTTCGACGTAACATGCGGTGACTCTCGCGGTGGAAGGGTGCAGTCGAATCTCGAACTTAAACCAAGCAAAGTTCCGCACCCCCTTTTGACACCAGTCACGTTGGGCTCGCATTCATGCAGGTGGTCAGCGAATGTCGAGGGACCACTTTCTTGCAACGGCCACAAAGAAGTAGAATCTATGCATCGAAAGACAGGTGGCTTTCGAAGAGGCTTCTTCACCTATTGCCAGGCAATGCAGCAGTTGAATGTTGATAGAGGGGTACACCTCCAAAATTTTCTATCTGGTCGAAGATGATCAAGATGCGATTAGCAAATAACTGCTAGTCTTCAACCAGCTGACTGGTTTTATCAAATCGAAACAAATAAAATTATTTCTACTATTATTTCGATTATACTATCATATGAACGCAGAGTTTCCACATAGGATTAGTACTTTAGAATTGGGCCTAAAAAATACCATGCGATCATCAACTGAATGTCCATGATGTCTCCCCGTTCCTGCGTTATTGTTAGCTGTTAAAATTCAATGAAAGCTGTCATCGATTACAAAATATTATCTTTGGCAAAAATATTCCAAAATTTGTATCGCATCCTAGGGTGGAAATTCACCGTAAATAAAATGCAAAAAGTTAGCGTAAAGTGTAGATTTATTTGGTATTTTGATTGTTCCAATAAAAGACTATCATGAAATTCGTTATTATGACTATTCTAACAAAGTAATTCAAAATAAATTTTGCGATTATGACAATTAGAAAAATTTCAACTATCTGTATGCAAATGTTAGTACATCTGGAAAAATGGCAGTTCCCGATTTGGCTATGAAGAGGAAGGGGTGCGAAGAACATAAAAGAAATCAGATTTGTAGTAAGCAACAGCTGGTTCTCTAAAATCATCTCTTGACATGTGAAGTCGTCATGATTTAGCGTGCTGTTCGTCTAATTGAACAAGAAGGGGACTTTAAAATCTTCAGCATCTCTCCCCCCACAAGTACAGCTGACAAGGAGGAAGTAGAACGATTCTGCTATGAGTTGGAACAGCCATCGCTTCCAAGTTTACTTTTCCTCACAGAGTGAAATGAGGGAGGAAATTGGCCGGTGACAATGGCAGAAATGAAACACCTGGCAGCAGCAACTCCTGGTTCAGGAAAACCAACGGAAGGTGGACATGGATCGCGCCTAACTTGGCGGCTAAGAACAAAATTCGACTTCCTCGTGTTCGATAAACTCCAAATAATCTGAGATTGCAGCAGTGCCATCGCTTAACACCGGCAGTTAGCAGAAACTGGTCCAGACGAGGTTAACTATCGAAGAGAAAATCGAGAGAAAGGCAAATCACAAACAACGATCGATTCTCCAATCACAGATTTCAAGGTAGCCGTGAGTCAATAGCGAGAAGTTCGTTAAGAAACTTGAGCGTTGCTATGATCAGATGAGGTGGTAACATCAAAGAGAGCGAAAGAAAGGATCTCAGAAGAGACAAACTTTGCCAGAGAAATGGAGGAAGATGGAGAGAGATAGACTGTCATGGAGGGCACTCGTTTTTTGGTAAGCTCTTCAGACGGAAGTTAAAGGAGGACCTCGAGACCTTCCAATAACAAAAAGGAGAAACAACGGTCGAAGACTACTGAGGCCTCAGACAATGCAAGAGAGAGTTATCATCTTATCAATAGGTAATCATGGAGTTAAAGAACTAGATGGAACATTAACGTCTAATAGAGCTGGAATGCAGTCTAGTTGCAAGAAATTTTGCACCAAGCTCTTTGCATCAAAGACATGCGTCTTCCAATCATCATTCATGCAGCCAGAAGGAAGTGCACTCCCAACCCTCAAAAGCAAAGTTCAGCATGCCGCGTAGAACGTGAAGGGAGAAATTGAGGACCTAGGAAGAGAGAGTCTCATAAGTGAATTAATCAGAGCAAATGGTGAAACTCCGTAGAGAGTTCTAGCGCTAAGGTCCATTTGTTACCTGGAAACGAGAAGATGCCATCAAGCTTGGAGACAAAATCTATGGTGCTGTTCAAAAGAAGCCAAAAGGAAGATATGAGGGTCTATAGATCTATCGCCCAATCTGCCTGCTCTCACAAGCTTACAAGCTGCTTACGAAGATCATCACCGACTGGCTGTCAACAAACCTGCAGCCAGGAGAACAGGCAGGATTCTGGAGAAGCGGCAACAAAACCGATAAGATCTTCACTTCACTGAACTCCTCGAAAACTAGAGGGAATTCTCTGTTCTTTCGGAATGCTCTTTCTGCG